TGCTTTTATTTCCAAATGTTTTAATGTTAATATTCTTTTTTCCTACACATTCAAGTTTTAATTTGCGACACAAATCCGGTGATATGTAGCTAAGCTGCGAACAGTTGTCAAAAAGTATTCTGCAATTATGTAATCTGTCATTTATGTCTAATACATCAGTTGAAGCAGTTTGGAGTAAAATGGACTGATTATTGTTACTTGAAATGGCTGTTAGTTAACCTTTTTGTAATTCAATATTCTGTTTTTCTAGACAAAGTGCTATATGATGCTGATTACCACATTTAAAACATTTGATACTAGATGTACAATTCTTTGATGTATGACCACTTCCTAAACATTTAAAACACAGATGTTTTTCACTAATTATTCGTTTTCTATTTTGAATGTCTGTTATGAATTTGCAGTATTGTGATTTATGTGATCTGTCACAAAAAAGGCACTTGATAAATTGTGGTATATTGGTTGGATTATTTCTATCAAAGTATGAATTTTCTTTAGCTTTCTTACTGTAATTAAATTGACGAGGGTTTCTGTTAAAATTTGAATTTTCATAGTTGTTACTTGTAAAAAATGTTTCAGTTGTATAAGTTTTATCAACACTGTTATTTAAATTTAATGAGACTTGTTCTCTTGCACGTAATTCTGATTTTAAAATGTTAATGATGGTTAAGACATCCCATGAACTGTTTTTATCAAGTTGTCTGTTTATAATTAAGTTCAGTTCTTCAGGTATTTTCTGTAGTATTATTGGAACAAGTAATGGTCCATACATTTCACTTGTAATTTTAAGAGTTTCGAGGCTCCTTATTTGTATTTCTATATTATCTAATAAATGTCTTAATTTTTCAATTTTATTTAAACTATGCACTCTTTCAAATGACAGTAGTTTTCTCATGTGGGATGATATCATATTCTGCTTATAACGCTCCTTATGTCTAAAGCTATTTTATAGTTTTCATTGGATAAACTGAGACCTGAAATAGATGACAAAGCTGAACCTTTTAGCAAGTTTCGAAGATAAGTTTTTTGAATTCCTGAGAGATCATTGTTCATATCTATAGCACATTCAAAATTTTCTATAAAAGATGTCCACTTTTCAGGTTCTCCATCAAAATTATCTAATTTTAAAACAGGTAATTTTACTGTCTTGTTTTTAAAGTTACTAAATGTACTATTGCAGTCAGTTTTAATGTCGAATTTCTTTAACTCTTTATTAATTTTAGAAATTTCACTTTTGAATACTAGATTAAATTCTGTAGAAGATTCTAATTCATTTTCTAACTCGTCTTCATCCTCAATCAGTAAGGTTATCTCTTCATCCAATTGGATGACTTTATTGTATTTTTCGTTTAAAGTGTCTTTTAAGTCACTAAGGTTACTAAACTGGTTTTCATCGTCAGTGTTGTTAATAATTTCTAAAGATTTTTCGAATAATTTGTTTAAAAGTTTTATGTTAACTGTTCTAATTCTACGTTTGCTTTGAATAGTTGACATTTTTTGAAAAATAAAACTTACAGATACTTATTTGCAAAACGTTAACTGTCCCAAATCCTTCCTGATTGGGTAAATAATTACTATTAGTGACAAATATTATATATTCTTACTTAAATCTTAATGATTGTTAATATAATAACTTTATAAATGTTCGATACAATGATAAGCTCAAAATGTTCACTTAATACTCCTTAATACTTAATACAATAATCCTAAGTATTATAATTTATAATAACAAGTAAATAGTAAATAAATGTAAATAAAACTTAACTTTTTTCTTGTTCTTTAATCTTTTAATCTGTTTAAATCTTTTGAATCTTTGTATTCAAATGTCAATATTTATTTTCCGTGGGCTCCAAATTGTGTGGTTCATTCACAAACCATACTGTTTTAATATGTATACTAATATATTCTCGTATAATAATGTACAATAATGTAAAAACGTGCTCAATAAGTTACAACGTTCGCGTAGGAGCAGAGTAAGAGTTAGAGAGAAAGCGTGGGATTAACCGCTGACAATATAACATAAATAACAAGAAGTCGTTGCCGCGCTAGTGAGCGCGACAATAGGTAAAGCACAATATTTGTATTCTACATCCCATTTCCTTTTAATAAATAAATATTTTAATAAAAGCTAATTACTTTACAATATTTATACGTGAAAAATTATATATTTTAAAATTATATTGTGATGATATTGAAAAAACATTTTTTAGATTTGCGTTTAGTCATTTATTGTTGTATTCGTTTCTTTCAAAATTGCTACTGACAAAAGTATTAAAGAAAAAATTGGCAACTTTCTGGCGACGGCCATTAATAGAGATTACGGAAGAAAAATAGAACCGTAACTGAGCAACGCCCAATATTGAGCAATGAAATAAGTATCGCCAAAATAATGAAAGTCGATGCCCACTATCTCATAGTGAGATTATAATACAGCAGTTTATAGATTTTTATTTATATATACATATTTTTTGTACCTGTATTTAAATAGCATTGATTTTATTTTGTTATATTTTGGTTTTGGAAAACTCTATACCTCTTCTTTTCGTTTGTATCTGTTTCATATCACTTCAAATAAATTTAATGATTTCAAATTTTTTTTTCTTAAAGCGTGTTCTATGATTATTGTCATCTCCTAGACTATAACCTGTTTGACTCAAAAGAATAATGAGGCCTAGTACTATAGTATCCCTTAAACAAGAAAACTGTTAGTAATTTTAATTATTACAAATTTGTAGAAGGCAATATTTTTTATTATTTTTTAATAATAAAAATTTAATTGAAAATACTCAATATATTGCCTTAATTTAGTTATATATATTATATATATCAGGATAATATTGTAAACTATATTAGGCCAATATTGGCCAGTATAATATCCCCATTATTGGCGCGATATTATTTACAATATTGGCGTAATATTGTAGCGCCAATATCGGCAAAATGTTCACATTGCAACATAGGTCCGATATAGTTTACAATATTGCGCCAATATTGTAAACAATATCGCCCCAATATTGCGCCAATATTGTTTGCTACTAGGGAAGCTCTCTCAAAAAACTTAATAAATATATTAATCAGGATATGGCCAGTCTTGTTCAAAGGTTTAGAGGAAATAAAATCTCATTGAATACTAAAAAATCAGAAATAATTGTATTTAACACTCGAAATACTAACTTTTCTAAAAAAACTAAGAAAAATATTCCAAAATACTTGAACTTTTGATTAAGTGGTCAAAAAATGTACTTGTCTAGTTACATAACTTAACTTGGTGTTGTGTTAGATGAAAAACTTTCATTCAAAACACACATATCCGACCTTACTCTGAAGTTAAGCCGCTCCAACGGCATGTTAGCAAAAGTTCGACATTACGTTAACTTTGAAACATTTCTCTCTATATATCACTCAATTTCTGGTTCACATTTACGACACGCATGTCAAGTTTGAGGAGAATCTAAAACCGTATGTCTCTCTAGAGTTGTTTCACTTCAAAATAGAGCGGTACGGATTAATCATTTTTATCCGAAAATTTCCTACTGACAGCCTATATCTTACATCTAAAATTCTTCGTTTTTATGACTTAATTCAGTTCTTAAATTATTCATTTATCTGGATCAACAACATGGTGTCCTTCCTACTTTATTTCACAACTACTTTAATAATAAAAAAACATGTGGGCATAACCTAAGATCAGTCACTTAAAACAACTTAACTCCAGGCCCGGTTTTAACAGTTTTCTATGTGTAGGCGAGATGCAAAGTTGCCGCCGCAAAAATTAAAAATGCAATAATTTCCAATTTGAAGGAAAATAGAAAAACACTGAAAATCAAACTTTAATATAGAAAATAAAAAAACTCAATTTATACAAAAATAAAAAACAAAACAAATTCCATTCATGAAAAAATAAAAAACAAATCGTAATTAAAAGTGAATTTTCCTAGCTTTTAATTCTGCGAAATCTTTAACCAAATCAAAAACGAAATGTCCAAATGATCAGCAATTTCTTTCTCGATGGAAATCGTAGCTAGACCAACTAAACGATCTTGACACATTTGTGATCTCAAATAGGATTTTATTATTTTCAGCTTTGAAAAGCTTCTTTCAGCACTAGCAACTGTGACTGGTAACGTTAGTAGTATGCGAAGAGCTATCGAAAGGTTTGGGAATACTTCGACAACATTAGATGTGTAAATACATTTTAATACACTTTTTGGATCGCTATTGGAAGTATCAAGTCGTCTCCTAATAGCTTTAATTTCATACCAAAGTTCGACCCCGTTGATATCAGATTGGCCATCAGACATAAGCGCTAAATGCAAGTCCTTACAGTGTTTCAATAACTCATCATCCGTTAAGGGTTTGCTGCCGATATTGTAAAAAAACTCAAATAACTCGTTATATTCCGATAATTGCGTAAATCTTTCATTTATTGCTTGAATTGCGATGTCCAATATTTGATTGAAAAAAGATACTCTGAAGTTTTGTTCTGGTGATACTATCGGTTCATCACGACCTTCGTATAGGAATTGTCTACTCTTTCTGCGTACGCGTACGGGATCGTCCACATCAAATCCTTCAAAAATTTCTAGTTCAACTGCTAATTTTTTTGCATTTTCAACCATTGCGGCAAATTCTTCATCACAGCGATAATCGCATAGGAAAGATTTGGTAGCGTTTAAATGCTCTAGAGCAAGCGACAAGTCTAAAGCCTGTGATTGGAGCATTTTGCTGACAATATTAATTTGGAATAAAATGTCATACCACAATACCAAGGAGCAAACAAATTTGAAATTTGAAATATTTCTGGCTATTCCCTTAGCCTCTGCGCGACTCTTGACTTGTGGTGCAGTAGTTAATGTATTGTCTTCTGCGATTTCAATTAGTTCATCGTAAACTCCACTAATCTGAAATCGAAGTGCCCGTACAGCACAGACCCTGCTTTCCCAACGAGTGGCACTTAACGGTTTTATAGTCAGATCGCTTAGGTGGTTTAATAATATACTTCAACGGTGAGTTGATGCTGAGAAAAAGTTATAAATGCCTTGAATTAAATCAAAGAATGCGACAGCCTCCAAACAACAATTAGCTGCATCGTTCAATACCAAGTTGAGCGAGTGGGCACTACAAGGAACGAAAAAAGCTCGAGGATTTAGTTGACGAATTCTGGCTTGCACACCATTATATTTTCCGCGCATGTTGGCTCCATTATCGTACCCTTGTCCCCTCATGTCATCAAGATTTACGCCTAATTCCAGCAACTTATCGATAACAACTTTTGTCATATTTGCTCCCGTTGTGTCTTGTAATTCAAAAAAAGTTACGAAGTGTTCAGAAACTACGACTTCAGCTGGTTTTTCCGAAGATGATTCAGTTGCACTGACAAACCTAAAAACAACTGTCATCTGCTCCATGTGGCTTATATCGGGGGTACAGTCTAAAATAAGTGAGTAGTACTTTGCTCGCTCTAGTTTTGCTAAGATGTCATTTTTGATTTTATTAGCAAGCAATTCAACGATTTCATTTTGAATAGTTTTTCCGAGATAGGTGGTGTGAATTTCACTTGTTGTTATTCGTTGAATATGTTTACTCATAATAGGATCATAATTTCCTAAGAATTCAATGAATTTAAGAAAATTTCCGTTATTCGGTTCGAAAAGCTTTTCACATGTTCCTCTTAATGCTAGATTTTGTCCAGCAAGAGTTCTAATTAACGTTATTATTCTTGCAAGAACTTGTCGCCAATGTTGAGTTTCAGATTGAATTATTTTCTGATTAATGTGATCAATCGTAGCCCCTGATTTAAGTCTCACCTCCAGATCTCTCCAATTTAGATATGCAGTAGTGTGGCCACTTGATGTTTCATGTCGTTTAATAATAACAGAAATATTTTTCCAATCTCGGCAGCCGTCATGCGATGACAGGGAGAATTTATTCGGACTAAATATCTTACAGCAAAAGCAAAATACAGTGTCTTTCGTAATGGAGTACACCAACCAAGTGCGTTTAATTTTATCGCCATTAGACATTCGGCGATAACAATGAAAGCTTGAAAATTTTCTACTTTGTTCATCTTCGGGAAATAAAGACGGCAATTTTTGAATTGGACCATACTTCATCAGCAATGCTTTAAATTTACCATCTATTATAGGCCATTTTGCCGGATCATTAAAATTAAGAGGCAAATCTTTATTGGTTTTGGGGTCTTCACCACTTTGATCTTCATTGTTTTCATTTTGTCCTCATCGACGTTCTGTACAACAACTTCACTTAAATTAGAGATAAATTCCACTTCATCAACATTTTCTGGTTCTTTAGCAGTATCATCATTTCCAGAATTTCTATATTCATTAACACTAACACTATCCGCATATATTTCTCTACCGCTTTCGATTTCAATTTCAACTTCATTTTGGTTTGAAGTTGAAGCTACTATAGGTGCCAGTGCTTTTTCGCTTGATGACCTGCTCAAAAAGTGCAACAAAGCATTCTTCTGCTTGGCAGAATTTGCTTCACGTTGAAGCCTAATTTTCTTGTATTGTGACCCAGACAAGCGCTGTCTCTTACCACGGTCCATTATATTGTATCGTTTAAAGAATTTAAACTTAAAAAAAATATAGCATTGATACATATACCTAAATTTTTATATTTAATGATAATAATAATAATAATAATAAGTTTATTCAAATACATGAAAAAGAAAACGAAAAAACTAACTTTAACTACTTACTTATAAAAATTATTGTTAGACAAATATTAATCAATTTATAAAAGGGTATAATAATTTTTTTTTTTTTCAAAGTTAAAGTTCGTTTAATAATACACTTTTATAACAATTTACAATAGATATCTCAAAGATAACTTCAATAAAATTTTTAAGAAAGTTTCTAAGGAATATTCTGGAACTTTAATTTGCTTAGTCAGCGTATTTTATGAACCAATAGAATTCGTTTGTTTGTATATTTGGCGGTTTGCTAACATCCATCCCTGAAAAAGAAAAAAGAAACTTTTTTTTACTGTTTCTTCTTCGCCAAATCCCAAATGTAAAACATGTATACAAACAAACACTTTTATTACTATATTATTTATTTGAAAAACTTAGTATGTATTAAAGTTCCCGTAAAAAAAATAAAATAATTTCTTGTTACAAAAAAAAAATTTTAATTTTTTTTTTTTTTGGGAAAACACAAAATAAATTAAGAAAAGTGCCGCTCTAGAAAAGTGCCGCCGTCGGCTGTCGCCGACGTCGCCTACGCTTAAAACCGGGCCTGCTTAACTCTTCCACTAAAACAGACAAGTTAACATGGAATTAATTCCATTACATACCAGTGTATCTTTTCTTGGAACTCCCTTCCGTACACCCTAAAATCAAGTCTCATCCTTAGGTTTAAGAATCTGTTCTTAAAGTCACTCCATCATTTCTACCTAAAAGGTTGCATATATAAATATACATTATATTAATTATGTTATATATATTCAAAAAGTCTGATTTTTTTTGGTATAATTAAACAAATTTTTATGCAATTTTACTTTTATTAGTTAATATTGTGTTAACTTATTTAACTTAACTTCTTTTTATAACCTACTTTTTTAAGTGGTTTTACTTATTACATATTATTATTATTGTTATTATTATTTTTTATCTTATTTACGTCATTGCGCTTTATTAGTGAATCACTATTTGCAATGACCTGTGTTTTTGTAACATCTGTAACACGAAATATATTGCTATTGTTGTTGTTGGTTTTTTTTTCATATTTAAGTAAAAGAAACCATTATAGAGGTGACGTCAAAATGTAAAATTTTTGTTGTTATTTAACGGTCACAATTTCTGTAATTATATTAAGTTGTAGAACATCAAAAGAGCATCGTAATAACTAATTCTTTTTTTTTGTGATATTTCGGATAATTTGTACAGACCATCATCAGACGTAAAATACAATTTAAAAACCGTTACAATTAAGGTGACCGTACGTACGCGTTTGGCGCGTACAGTAAGCGTTTGACGGTAGTTTTGCGCGGTTAGGATTTGTACGCGTTTGTGTACGCGTTTACATATTAAAAAAAAAGCAAATAAAATTCTTTCAAAAACTTTTATTTGAAAAACGTTTAATAAATGAATTTTCTAAAATATAGTTAAAAAATAAAATTGATAAAATTCCAATAAACTTAACTATAAAACACGAAACAAAATCACAAAGTTGATGAAGAGTCAAAGCTTTGGTCAAAATGAAAAAATATTAACCATTCAAAATGGAAAAATTGCATTCTACACAATCAAACATAACCATAGCTTTAGATGTGCTCAAAGCTAGTTATGAAACTTTATAATCCAAAATTTGCTTGTGCGCGTACAAAATGTGAAGCAATAATTGTAAACGTGTTCAAAAAAAATATTATCAAAAACTCAGAAACTTCTTTATTAAAGGCATCATATATGTCAATTCTTTTTGTTGCATCAAACCACAAGGTTAAAATGAAATTTTGATGTGGAGATAATTATTTATTTAGTTTTTTATTGTTTTCCTGTTCGAGTTTTTAGTTTAGAAAATTTCTGCCATGAGGCCGGTGTGGAATATCAAAAACTGCTAGGATTTTCAAAGATTCGTTGGTTGACCTTCCAGCTATTAAAAGAGTGCTTAAGTATCAGCTACTAAGGTTATAATTTTTAAGCTTAGTATATCATCCAAAGTTTTTTCTTAACTTTTTCAATAACAAAATGGGTAAAATAGTATTCTTTTATTTTCACAGTCAAGCCAATACTTTTTATAACACGCTAAAAAGAATTGAGAAAGATGACATTTCTGCTGCTGAAGTTGCCGTAGTATTAAAGGATTTGAAAGACGAGATAAAACCTAGAAAAAAAGAAAAATTTCTAACTTTCGCGGTAAGACAGCATTTGCAAGTTACCGAAGATAGTAGTCATCATTTAAAAAACCAGTTTCTGAAAGAAGTGGACATTTTTTACAGTGTCTGTCTAGAGTATATAGATGAGTGGACGCGTCACTTTAATCAGGTTGAAGTTTTTAAATTGTCTTTACTTAACTGTAAAGTTGAATGGATTAATATTATTGAAACTATAAGTTTTTTGAAAAAATCAATAGAAATCACATTCGATGACAATAAATTGTTCAAAGACAATCGGAGAATTAATTTATATTGCATAAACGAAAAGTTTTCTTCTTGGAACTCATAGTGTGTTGAATGTGATAAGCGATGGGTTGAAATTTTTTCTGATTTCAAGAATAATCACGTTCCCTATAACAGTTTGTTAAAATTGGTAAAAATCACTTTATGTTTGCCAGGTACAAACGCTTCCGTAGAGCAATTTTTTAGGAGGGAAATCCCAACTTATAATGAAAACTTTGACAGCTGTTTTGTTCCTTAAATTTAATTTAGAAAATATAGCTGCTCAGTATTTGGGCACGTGCTGCCCCGCGCTTTGTTCTGCTTGGTCACTAAAAAATTGAAGTTAAACCAGATATTTAAAAATTGTTAGTACAACACAAAAAATTTAAAAAATATAATTAATAATTTTATTAAATTTATGCAAAATCTTATCAAAAAATGAATATAGGTGAATATAGACGCTAAAAAAAGGGGCGCTTTTATTTTTATTCTATTTTTGGCGCCTTTAAATCAGGCTATGGGCCTGATTTAAATACCATTTGTATTTATACATACCAAATTTATTTCTTGTACGCGTCTGGTATTTTTCAAATATGGTTACCTTAGTTACAATATAAAATTTAAAAATCATAAAGAAGCCATTACAAAGACGACGTCAATAAAAATTGTTTTGTTTTTTTATGATTTTTTTAAATAGTGGTCTCCAACTATTTTGTTACAACTTTTACCCTGTTATCCCTCTTAAACAGTACTGGAGATGGTTTAACCTCCTGAGATGTTTGCGCATAGTTAATTTCAAGTGATTCCTTTATTTTCCTTTCATGATAATTGTTGTTTATAGATATAGTTTTTGGGTGCAGCCAATTATATACCCCATGGCATTTTTTGCAATTCTCAGTAGCTCCTGAAGCATGCCAATTGCCATTCATGCTATTAACTTGGTGTTCAATGCTTCTTTGCAAAATTCTCTTTTTTGTTTCCCCAATATAAATTCCCCCAAACGAACACGTAAGCTTGTACAATCCAGGGTTGCATTAAACTAGATTTTTTGTTACAGAATTGTTTTTAAATTAGGTGGTGTTGTAAAATAACTTTGACATTATACGTTTAAAGTGCTTTTTGTAGTTTCGGTCCAAGTGTTGGTAGCCAAGGTAGCTTTATTATCGCAACATTATTTTCTTGTTTTTTTGCAACTTTACTGTTGGGAATGTTTTTAATTGACAGGTGATTCGCGGCAGTTGTTTCTAGATTTGATCTTTTTTTTTTTTTTTTTTTTTTTTTTAAATATTTTAGTTTTCAATTGTTAGTTCGTTTTTACAATATAATGAGTAATTAAAAAATTAATACAAATTATAAAGTAAGCAAATACTACTAACATTTGAATCTTTGAATTTGAATTTGATCTCTTATTACTGTTTTTAACAAAAATACATATTATAAACTGAATCTCATTGTTAATGTATTTTTCGGAGTAGATTTTAGTGGCTCGTGATATGAATCCTTCAAAAACTCCAATAATAATTGCAGGATTGATATTTGAGTCGGGTTTTATTTATACGTTTGTTATTATTTCTTTACGGTAGACTTTGAAACCATAATGGTAATTATTTGTGTTAGTTATTTTTATATCTAAAAAATTTAGTTATCTCTAATTATTTTCAACTTCTGACACATATAACACATAATATAGACTTTGCTTACAGTTTCTCAGTTGTATTATATATATATATTTTTTTTATTTATTTATTTCAGTGATCGAATACAAATACAATAATCCATTTATAATTTAATGAAGAGGTGCTACGCCAGGCCCCTCTATGCTGACGAACATGGAGATACAGACGCTACAGACAAAGCAGCAGTTGTATCTATAAAGTTACTTTCTTATGTTATTTTTGAAAGCGTTGATGAATTGAGCGTTCACTGCTTCTTGCGAAAGCGCATTCCATGGAGCGACAATTCTGTTTGAAAAAAGTTATATCGCTCCTCA